GGTTTAATTCTAATAGGGAGACTTGTAGCTAAAGGTCGGTTTGAGCGTTTATCCAAGTTGAACCAGGCGCTATTCGCAGCCTAATGTCTTAGGAAGTTTGCCACAGATGTTGTTTTGATTTTAGAGTTGCCTCTGGGTCGCTTGTGCAGCGAAGAACGTCGAATATCTTATTTATTCCAAAGTGCAATGTTATAGCTAAAGCCCAACTAAAGTCAGAACTATTTGCCTAGATGCTTTTGTTCGTTCCCTTGTATGTCCACGTGTCCGTATATGATCCCTCTTGTAATTCACGCGAAAACACTCAAGATAACAACCAACTAACACTTTATATTGCTCGATGAAACAAACAAAAGAAACTCTTGGCTTCCAGTGATGCTCCGAATGGATCTCAGCCTTTCGTACCACAGCAAATAGCCTATAGCCAATATGCCTAGCAAGGAACGGGGGTTCCACTGGCGCTCCCTGAAATCCTACATGCCTTATATACTATTTACAGAGTCTAAATCGGGAACTGCTGAATAAATACAAACGGTTAAACGGAAGAATAGTCTCGGAGTCTTGATCTCCGGCGCCCTAATTAGTACAGATTACGATGGTCGGATAAACGGAGCCTTGGTATAATGGTTGAGAATTCTCGGCATTCCCCGATGGGCCGCTTTTCCCGCTCAACCGAGGTATATTTGGCACTCTGCTGCTCTTCCCGTCTCTCTTGGTTCGGATACAGATAGCTCTCTTAGCTAGCTATAATTATAATTTACCCTAGTGGCGGGTTGCCCCACCTACACGGTTAAATTCGACTTCCCATGTTCCTGCCGTCTCGGTAAAACGGAATCGGAGCACTGATGGGATCTATGCTTCTTCGGAGATGTCTGCCTTCGGATCTACTCGGCCTTCTTCGGCGTTCAACTTCAAGTTACGTTCCTTTTCTGAGATACTCGTCGTTCTCATGTCTAGCACACCCACGGACAACTCCAGTCTGAATGGATATTTATTATACCCTTGTTAGGACAAGCAGTCAACTCCAATCCGGTCAAAGATGGTTGAGCCGACTTATAGCTAAAAGTCTTCTTTGCACTTTCTAACGCTGCGCCTTCCAGCAACATTGTATAGTAGCCTCTTAGAACACTCCTAGGTGCCTTGTAGTCCATAGCCAGCCGTTCGGGTCTTACCCTGGCCCTCGTCAATGATTGCATTCTTTAGCTTAGATATAACTAGAGCCGTGAATAAAACAAATTTTCACGGGTGGTTATTTGCCATGCTCATCACCGCCAAGAAATGACTCGAGGCTGCAAAATCACCTCAGTCGCTAGTGTGAAATTCACTATCTGGTGGTTGCATGGAAAGTCTTGAAAGCTTTGAAGCGCGGTGCATTCCATCCGGAGAGGCAAGCTCAGTGCACATAATCGAGGAATTTGGACCGCGCCTGGATTTTGTGGAATTGCTTTAGCGCCTCTCGACAAATTGCCTAATCGGTAGTTTCAACCCAGGGTGGGAAACCATCCGAACGCAAATTGTGGCAAGTAAATGTGGCAAGTAAAACAGCACGCCTAGTAGGTCCTTTCGAGAGGTTGAAGACCTGTTTTGACCCTCAGGAATTGGTGCAGTGGTTCTTGTAAAATTCCCTATTCGGTCTTTGCAGCCAACTGCAACTTTGATATGGGAGTCAAAAATTAGGTATACTTTTTTTGACTGAAACCAATGTAAGGGGCTTAGGCAAAACTAACAAAATTTATTTAGGATTTGTTGTGCGTCTGTTCAAGAGTTATGAGCTGCGCGGCAAAACACAGCCACCGCCTCGTCAATGCGGTGGTTCATGTAAGGCTTTTAGGCACCATGTTTTCTGGCCCACAAGCTTGAAAGCAGTATGAATCATTCCTCCAACCCAATTCAGCATGTTTGCACATGAGGTACAGGTTGCGCAAGACTAACATGATATAAATGCAGACAATGGCACTTCGTCATTCCAAACAACGGCGGTTGCAAAGCATCCAAGAAAGGATTCTCCCACCGCCAAATCACGTTTAGTGTGCTATTCTGAATCTTTCAAGACATGCTAGTGCACAGAATCACTGGCATCTGAGTGGTTCTAGTAACAATCAGTACTTGGTTGAACCAAAATTTGCGACACCTTTGAATTATAGAGGGCTGAAATGTGACCATCAAGCCTAGTGTGTATCATTCAGGAGTTTAGGCCCCCATTTGAGTCTGGGCAATCGCCGCAGTGGTTCTCGGAAATTTCCCTATTCGGTTGTTGCGATCGAGGACAGCGAGCTTTTCAAGTACAGATTATTCTGATGTAAATATCAGGCCTAGCGGCTCCTAACGACTAGTTTAAGCCGTGCTTGGACCCTGGGGAATCGGTGCAGTGGTTCTTGTAAAATACCCTATTCGGTCGAGAGGACCGAATGCAACTTCGATGGTGGACAAAGTTGCGGCGTCAATTTTTTTGACTGGAAACAGTGTATATGGCTTAGGCAAAGCTAACAATAGTCACTCAAAGCTTCCAGAGCATTCCCTCGAAAGTTATAAGGTGCGCGCGGCACTGCCGCGGCAAAACACAGCCACCGCACGTCAATGCGCGGCAATGCCGCGTCAGTGCGCGGCATTTTCACCCAGCCCCGCTCACTTGCAAGCTTGAGAATGATGAGTGTCAAGTATTGTGTTCCATAGCACAAAATACACTGGGATCGTCAGACCGAGAATGAGGTTCGATTTGAAGGCAAAGGGAAAGCGTGGTGCGCACATCAAGAGATGACTCTTCCCTTCCACAATATCAATGTGATAAAGAGCTGCGTACCGTGACAGCATGGTTGCATCTCAGTGGAAACGGGGTTTTCGGTGGCATCTTTCGTTTTTTCGCTTGCAACTAACCGCTTGCAACTAACCCAAATGGATTCCGTGGGTTTCAATTCGAGGGTTAGCACATCCATCTATGTTGGCTTGCCTCTGGAGGACTTAGGGTTGAAATCTGTTTGATATCCCAACGTCGTTGATCGGAACAATGACACGATTATCATGACGAGATCTATAAAGGGAAGCGGACTCGGTTTGCCTTGTCGAGACACCAATTAACGCCTGAAAAAGAAGTAATTAGGTGGTAAATACTGATATGGATCCATTAGGATCATGTAGAGAAGGTTTGAAAACACCGCTTTGAGCAAAATCTAGGCTCGTTCCCATCTCGTGGCTTGCAAACCGTGACTTTGGCTTGCCTTCGTCTGGCTTTGGCTTGGCTTGCCTTTGGCTTCAACCTGAAATTTTTAAAGGAAGTGTCAATCACATCAGAGCACCCACATCATCCCAAGTTGTAAACCTCAGTCCCACGTGCTGTTCTGACACAGTTTTTTAGATCAATTTCAGCAAACACAAAAGAAACACCGCTGCCCTAATGCCTTCGTCGGGAGTTGAGCCCGCATCTCCTTCGGAATATTTAGTCTCCTTGGCCCTCGTATCGAGCGAAGGTGATCTAGCGTTGATCTACGAGAAGGCAAATGACTGACGAGGCTTGGTCCTGATTCCCCAGTTTACTTGCGAACCCATTGGACTGTTCTGCCAAGTTTTGTGGCCCACTCTCACTTTCGAGGCTTCAACGCGGGGATTTGGGGTGGGTTTCAGAGCATATATCTCCAACAGTGTTCTCCAAAAAAAAACCCCAATCCGTTGGCTGCCGCTCCAACATCTTTGCTGTTTTCTCACGCATACATAAGCTGGTCGTGACTTGAACTGGCGAACGAAGGCGATAAACTCCAGTATAATTGTCATGGTGCTCTGCCGTGCTGTTCCTATTTACGAGTACTTATGTAATAAGTAATCGTCCATTTCAAAACTTTTACGAGTACTTATGTAATAAGTAATCGTCCATTTTACGAGTACTTATGTAATAAGGAATCGTCCATTTCAAAACTTTCCATATGAGGTTTTTGAGACCACCGCGAAAGTCAGTCCCGTCTAAGCGTTAAACCCATTTTAGTGGCTGTGTTGAACATTACATTTCTTTGTTGACTGTTTAGTGGCTGTGGTAGTGGCTTGGTAATCCTTGCCCATCAACACACAGGTTCGATTCCTGACGCCAACCCTAATTTCTGTGTTCTCAACATGAGTCGTAGCAGCCTCGTATTTCTCCCCATTAGTATTGTCTGAATCCTGCTGAAGAATAGTTTCTCTGATTCTGCGAGGCCTCCCTTTGGACATTTGCCCACTTGAAATCCTACTCAAAAGGCAAAATTGAACAGAAGTTCAACACCGAAAGGATATTTACCAACACGCTCGCAGCAGCACTGGAAACATGATCTTGTTGCATACTGAATCATATCCTACCATCACCATTTTTTTGAGTCGTGCAGTTCCATTCCGTTGCGGCAAGTTGCAATCCAACCTTTTTTGGGTCTTGCATCCCGATGCATTTTCCACACAAGCATCGAAGTATGTAACCTGTTCGCTGAACCAATCTTACCTTTCCTGACGATTCACACTTAACTGTGTTGACTGTGATTGCCTGTAAATTCGGCCGGCCACTGCCTACATTTTCTGGGCCCTGAAAATCACATTACCTATCACTCATGGAGTGTATCCGCAGCGTCTTGAGTAGTATGAGCATCAAGCGTTGTGATGTCTGCTGAGCTCTTGTGACCCCTATCTTGAGCTCAACGATGCCCTAGTACTCATTATGTACGATGAAAAATACAATGACATAAGTACGAGATTCTGCCGGGCAACGCAACGGCCCTACACCCCAAGTTCTCTGGGAACGCGGATTGCCCGTGCACATATCCGCGCATGCGCCTCCGATTCGCTCGGTATCGCACCGAGTACGCGTTGCAGTTGAACCACCCACGACCAGAGCCAAAGCGAGGAACAATACTTTCAAGCGGATGCATTCGGTGGGAGTTGAACCTTTTTGCGCCTCCGATTCGCTCGGTATCGCACCGAGTACGCGTTACAGTTGAACCATTCACGGCCAGCGCCCAAGACGAAAACGAAAAACGATCCCCTTGAGCGTATGCCTTCGGCGGGAGTTGAACCCGCATCTCCTTCACATCAATAATGTCTACACAACTCCGGACCAGGACAAGGTGATCTGGCGCTGATCTACGAAAGCTTAGTCCACGAAAGCTTGTGACCCACTGTGTACATGGTTTCCCAGTTTATTTTATCTTGGTGTTGAAACTGAACCCCTAGTGCCTAGGTCGAATGGTGCCCAGCCCCTCGGAATGTTCTCCCCTGCCAATCCGTATCGACCTGACACAAAATACCAAACCAGAGTCGATAAAAATCCCATTGGCATTGGACCCTCAGAGAGTCGATCTCACTAGGTACACCTCAACTCGGAGTTTTCTCGCGCGGGTGCGAACCGATACGTTACACCTGTACATGATCATCCAGCATTGAATCGATGAATGCACGAACCTGTCGAGATTTCCTGCTGCCCTCTTGGCAATAGCCGGCGCGCGCTACAGTCAGCACCGGATATACTCCTGCAACTGGCAAGCTGTGTGGCTCAGAAGTCGTGCGGTTCAATGAAGTATTTCAAGCAAATTTGGACATCAGAGTGAAAAAAAGTGTGGACTGTGGGTGCGGGAACGCTACGCTACGCCACCTCAGCCGGGAGCCTGTAATATGTGTATTGGAAAAGTGTTCTGTGCCGGTTGTGATGGATCTACTCACCTTTAGCTTTTACCGTCCCAATAAACTCGAATGCGCGCAACCGCGCCCGGCCACGTGATCGCGGAATCCAACCACGGGTGAACACCGCCTCACTGGATTGGGCATGGAACGTTACAGATCTTTGTAGAATATTCCTTACCTACATTATATATACCATGTCTCTTCAATGTGAATGCAATCTATCTTTTGCCCACAACTATCATCTTGCTCACTACTGCGTGAATCTGAAAGAGTCTAATCAGTGATCACTCGACTATCTTGAGGCAAAGGCTACGCGCTTGCACTAAGATTAGGACTGCAATCTTAAAGACACGAAGACTCGCTCTCGTTTCGCGTACAACGAAGGCTCGCTCTCGTTGTTCGGTTGCTCGATTGACTCACGGGAAACGTAAGTTGTTTGGAAGGATTTCTGAACTAAGTTTATAGCCACACGGCTATACCAAATCCCTCAACGCTTACTCTTAAGTATTTCATTCGACTCATACTAGCAAATTAACCGTTTCGCTAACACTGGTGGACACATTGGGAAATCCCTCCGGTAAGCATCTGTTAGTTTCTCTGTGATTCTATCTTCTACATGGCTACGACTACCGAGCACGAGGAGCACGGTTCCTATGGCACCATCACTCCTCGCCGCACTTCCACTCCGATTCGTCGTCAATCACCGGAACACCCCGCAGATGTTCCCCATTCCAATATCACGGACTCGTCGATGTTTGGAACGGAGACGTTTGAGGGTTATGACGGTGCTATTGATGATGCCGATATCGACGAGTCCCAAGCCCCTGTCCAGACACAGATTGATATTGCAGCCATGAGACCTTTCACCAAGATCGCGCAGAACGATCGTGGCACGTCGTCAGGAAGCAATTTTGATTGGTTCACGGGCAATGGGTAAGGCATTCCTTGTCACCGCGCAAAAGGCTACGAGGAGATTCTACACGTCAACATTCTCAAAAGAGCTTGAATTGCTGGAAACTAGACTGGTGACCAGTCTGCCACGGCATATCTTAGTGCAAGCACTTTGCCATAGGCAGACTGGTACAACTCGGGCGAAGCCAAAGGGCTGCGCCCGGAGTTTGAATTTTTTAAGCGGTGCCGATCCGCGGCATCAAACGGTGGCTGCGCAGTGCCATCATTTCCCTTGTAAATCCGGTGTGCGGTACTCAACATCCACGAGATCTGGTGAGATTCTGAACCAGCAGAATCGAAGAGAGGTCGCTTTGAATCATATTTTCCCTTTGAGCTTTATGGATTCAGTCGGAACTGATTGAATCTAGCTAAGAAGAAAAAAATTCAAACTCCGGGCTCAGCCCTTCCGCTTAGCCCGAGTTGTACCAGTCTGCCTACGGCATAGTGCTTGCACTAAAGATTTGCCGTAAAATGCAGACTGGTTACGAGTCTAGCTGGAAACATTGCTCACCCATGTTAACCGTGTCGAGACCCGTTCGGGACAGTTTGCATATCGAGTAGACAAGGCTCGCTATACCTTACTCCTCCGCATTTTGCATGACATTGCAAAGCCAACAAGGAATTCATTCCTCCTCGCAGGGAAAACACCTCCATCCCTACCTTCATGGGGCGATGAGGAGGACATAACCAATGGATTCTTACCCAATGATTATGAGATTGCGGCGGTATGTTTTCGCGTGGAAGTTGAAAATTACTTGTGGCTGTTGAACAAGTATTATGACTTTGCAGAGGATAAGCCGCAAGAGCGCGATCTGGAAACGATCAATGCGGCGAATGACTTTATAGCTGCATGGTCGGCTGAAAATTCATTTGTTTCGAAGGCCAGTGCATCTATTGCCTACCCGCTAAGGTCGCCTTCCGTGCCAAGGTTTGTTGGCTCGGCCCAAAATCCAGAGTTGCCGATAAATAACCGTCGCATGGGAGAGGTTTTGCGCCCAATGGCCTCTGCATTTCAACCAGCCAGAGACTATCCGAGAGATACTGTGCCAGTTGAACCAGCAGAAGCCAAACAAATGAGGTGTATGACACCTCAAGGTGATTTCATAGGAAGGGACTTACCTCCACATGTTCCCGCACCACGCCGCCGTTGGGAGGAGACGCCTCCACCGATCAAGAGAGGACAGCAAGGAGCGCCTCCTGCTGGTGATCCGGACGATGGAGACGATGATGACGACGACGATGATGGACACGAGCCATATCGCCGCCGTTCAGCTCCGTTCCGATTGCCCAGAGACAGAGGTAATTCTGGGAAAGATTGGAGGTCAAACTTCAACCATCATGGAACCACATTTCGATCTCAAACTGAAATATGACAGCGTACCCAAATGGGACGGTAATGTCGACACCATAGTTCGGTGGATGTTGAAAATCAACGACATCGGCCAGGAATCTGACACCGTCTTCAAGCAGCTCGGCCGCGTAGTACCTAAGCGGTTAGAAGGAGAAGCTGAGATCTGGTATTACTCACTGCCTGTCAGTTATCGTTCAGAGATCGAACGAGATTGGAATACCTTGAGGACCGCATTTTCAACATATTATTTGAATCGCAAGTGGCTCGATAGACAGCGCGGTCGTGCGAATAGAGCAACTTACCGCGATACTGGGCACTCCCGCGAGAGCCCGAGTGAGTACTTCATTCGTAAGACTGATTTGTTGAACACAGTCTACGCGATGAGTGATTCGGAAATGATGTTGGAAGTAATGGATGGCGCACCTTCGACCTGGAACACGATCCTCACAACTCAGATGTACCGTAACCTAGTTGATTTCCAATCCGCGATTCGGTACCATGAGGACGCGTTGATGAAGCTGGACCGCTATGACCGGGATAGCACTTACCGGGATCGAGATCGTGACCGGGACAGAAATTACAACATGCGAGGTACGAGCTTCCCGTTTTAGCGTCTGTTTATAAGAGACTAGACAGAAATAGAGATTATCGTCGTGATAATACTCAAACTGCCCGTGTCAATCTCGTGGGATGGTCTGCAAACATGGGACCACCGAAATTCCCGAAAGACGATGGGAACCTCTCCAAGAAGGCTACTCCCGAGTCAATGGGTGCTCGACCTTGTCGACACTGCGGCGGCGGTAAACACTGGGATAACGAATGTAAGCACTCGTCCAGAGGAAACAAGACGGCGCGGACGAACCTGGCTAGTTCCGCCAGCGAAGGTGTAATAACGTTAACATTAATGTAATGTGGTCAGTAATTACTGGGGGCCGCATTACATTGTGGCCAGTCGTTACTGATCAGTAAGATATGCGCACAATGCAATGTGGTCGTACAATCAGTGTTGTGCCCCTTTCGGTTTCTTTGGCTGCTGCAATCATTCACTCGCTATATGCTTGCAGATACGGATTGACCGCATCTGATTGGGGGCCCGGCTGAAAAGCCTTCGCCGCTGGGGTCTATAAATACACCTGTGGCCCGTGCGCGGCGCCCGCCCCTTCCTAAATGGGATAGGTTTATTGACACATGTTAGAATCACTTAGCTCGCGTCATCCTCCTCCCACCACTTGCGGGCTCCTGCACGCTGGCCCGCTGCTCTCTGGTCTCTACCTCCCTCAGTGGATCTCTACCACACACATCCTCGTCCCGGAAACCTCTGTCAGGCCCTCTACGGCTCCGGATTTCTCTTTGTGTACCGTAGCCGCTAGCGCCCCTTTGGTCCACAAAAGCCAATTAAAAGCAGCATACGGCGGGCTGTCTGTCTGCTATAGACTTTGTGCTCACGTCCCTCACTTCTGGACATTCTCATGTCTCGCTCTCGGCCACGGTTCCGCCGCAATTGGTGATTTAGGTTTGCGATGATTTCAGCTTGTTCCCTCCGTTCTGCTCGTTCTGCGCTCCACTGGTGCAGGCCGTCTCATTCCTTGCCACTCTACTGGCATCTACTTCACCCTGTGGCTTAAAACTCTACCTCTCTGTCATTGTAGCTGCAAATCCGGGCTCGCCGGGTTTTGTTCTCGTTCCGGCACCCGCCGCTACTCCACAGCCTCGGATGGTTGCTCCCGCGCACAATGTTCTCCAGTGCGCATTGCTGGTAGCCCGTTTCTTGTCCACGACGTCGGTGCGGTGTGTAATCTGCAACGGGGTGAATCAGCCGTACCCCAAATGTACCCCGCAACCATGCCTGTGTTCTTGGGGTGGGCACATTGGTTTTGATTCGTTGACGTATCTACGTCCCATTACCCGTGACGCATGTTGCTGTCGATCGGTACTCTGACTCGACATTTCAGACCACGGCCGACACAACTTTTGTTTTTCCTGGCCTCACGGGCTTCTAGGTTTGTCTGTTTTATGGCTATTAACACCATGTTGCTGCTTCTACATGTATACTCTATATATGAATGCAATGGTTGAATGACATTTCAAGCCTCCAATTGTGTTCTCCCCCGAATTCCACCGAAAATGTGTGCGGGGTTCCGCCACCGTTGTTTAGAATGTGATCCTTATTT